GGTACAAGTTCCTATTTTGTTAAATAATTACCAAAACCTTCCCAGTATCAGTCACGCAATGGGACGCCCTTTCCCCTTTCCCCTCTCTGGAGCAGGATTCATGCTGAGGAAGTGACACAGAGGAAAGACAAGAGTGGGGAAGGAGCTAGAAAAAGGAATGGAGAGAGGAGGAAAAATAGCCTGGAAGTTGGAGAGAGGAGAGCTGGACAGATGCAAAACTTAAGGCTAGTGAACCAAGGCAGGACAGGATCATGGGGATCCTTGGTGCCTGGTTGGGGGGTGGCAGGCCACAGAGCACCCCCCAAACATCTGAAGTGGGCCAAAGAGGTGGTGTGTGGTGTTTGCCATCATGTTCTCAGGGTAGGGAGAGCAGGGAGAAGTGGCAAAGGGAAGCAGCAGTGATCCACTCAACCTGTGACGCCAGGGAGCTCAGGCAGCTGCAGAGGGGGAAGCTGCTCAGGCACATGGCAGCTCCAGCTGGGCTCACCTGTCAGGAAGTTCCACAGCAAAGCGGAAACTATTATCCTTCTGGGAGGGGCCTCTACAGCAAGCAGGTGTGTGCACGTGTACATCTTTGTGAGCCCACATGGGTTCTCTTTTCACTCTCTTCCCAGTGTCCTTTGATGCACAAACGTTTTTCACTTTGAAGAAGTCAAATGTATCGATTTTTTTTCTGGTGCTTTTTGCTGTCATAGCCAAAAAATTATTGCCACATACAAGGTCATGGAGTACTGTCCCAGTATTTTCTTCCAAGAGTTTCCCAGTTTTAGCTTTTCTATGTAGGTCTTTGATCCATTTCAAGCTAACGTTTGTGCATGGCATGGGGTAAGGGTCCACCTTCATCCTTTTGCTGTGGACGTGCAGTTGTCCTGCACTATGTGTGGAGGAGACTGTTCTTCCCCATTTGCGTGGTCTTGGTACCCTCGTCAAAAAATCTATTGCCCAAGGATGTATTGGTTTATTTTGGTTTATTTCTGGATTTTCAATTGTATTTCATTGATCTGAACGCAAAACACATTTTTTTCCAGACAACTGAAGGAAATTGAATTGTGGACTGAAAATTACATGATATTGAAGAATTTTTAGATATTGAAGAATTTTAGATTGTTTTAGGTGTGATGTGGATATTGTGACTATGTAACAAATTGTCCTTATTTTTTATATTTAGTGAGGTATTTAGGGATGGAATGGCCTATCGAGAATTTACTTTAAAACATGACAGCCAAAAATGTTCTTAAAAAGGAAAGAAATTTTGGGGGGTGGGGGGGAAATGGGCATTTATTGAAACCTTAAAATCTGTACCCCCATAATATGCCAAAATAAAAAAAAATTAAAAAATAAAAAAAAAGGAAAGAAAATACAGAATGGATAAATCAATACAGCAAAATATTGAAGATTATTTAACCTAAGGGGGGATCAATGAGTGTTCATCACATGTATTCTCTCCTTTGTAGAAGTATGGAAAGTTTGATAATAAAAAGTTGAAAGACAGAATCTTGATGGGAAGAATAGGATGCACCCACTAACAGCTAAATTTGAATTAAAATTGGAACCAGCATCTGAGAGAAGTGAGGGAAGCACAGGTGTGTTATTGCTATGTTGCCACATCCCACCCCATCTCCCAACCCAGATGTCTACAACTGTCCTGGATATGTGGATTGAACCTGAATTCTTTCCAGCTAGACCCAATCATGTGTTCTGCTGGAACTGACCAAATAATTAAAAAGACTGGAACATGAAACCTATCTTAATATAGTTTAGAGTGATCATCTGCCATCCTAGTCAAAGTATTATATCCAATTACCTCACTGGATATAATCGCCTGGTCACCTCGATGATATTTTGTTACCACGTAGGGCCTGCCACACCACAGGCAAACACATGCACTTGGGCACACTCAAACACCCACGCACACACACGCGCACACACACACAAACACACGCAGAGACTATGACTGGGTCACAGTGACCCTGTTACTCTGTAGTCAAGCATGTTCCCTCCTCATCACACACATGGATTCAGACTCTGACTCCTGCTCTCCAGCAGGCGCGACGCACGGCACGCTCTTCCCAGACCCGGCCTGCCCATCCAAAACAAGGCAGGAGGGTGTACAGCATCCGTACGTCTTTCCATCAAAATTGACTTTTGCAGCTGTGCTGTATTCAAGGCTCTTTACCAAAGAGCCCTCTTTGAAATCTCAAGTCCCTGTCAGAATTCAGCTTGCTTTATAATTATAATTATAGATATATGCATTCATATAACCATCCACAAGTATAAGAGATTTTATACTTATATGTCCCTTAATAAGTATATAAAATCATTTATTACGTAGATTTTTATAGGTATTTATAGCCAAACGTATACGAAACCATGTATTACTTTTTACATTTCACATTTTATAGACACAGCTATATGATAGGTAATATAAAATTATATTATATGTGGCTTTCTGTATCTCTGAAGCCCTCTGGGTGACCCAGGAAATCGCAGGGCCCCAGCCTTGGCTAGAGGGCAGGGCGCATCAGACCCTGGGTGGTGCTCCCTGCTGTGGCTCCTGGAAGGTAAAGGTGAGAGGAGCCCTTTGCCAGGCTCAGCCTCCTAAGGGTCCTGTCACGTGCATCTTCTTGCCTGCTCTTGCCAAGGAAGTCATGTCTAATTGGGAAAGGCCTGAAACTATAGTCTTCCCGCTTTCTAGAGCATTATTTCACTTCCAGTGATTGGCTCAAAGTCAACTCACCAAACATCTGCCAATGATGAGAGAATGTGACTCTGTTACAAAGTCTACTGAACTTTGGAAGAAGCCAGAACAATATATAAAGATACTTAGTCCCTCCACAATAAAGTAACAAAAACCAAAGCTGTATTTCAATCACCCATAGTTGGTTTAAAATAGAAATGGAAAAATTGCCCTCAGAACAAAAGTTTAGAAAATAATAAAGGCCTAGCATAAATTCTATTAAATAAAAAAGAAAAAATGCTTATATGAGGTGCAAAATTTTATCGATGGACATAAAACAAGATCTGGATAAATAAAAAGGAATATAGATTTCTGCAAAGGAAAACTTAATAACAAAAAGTTGCCATTCTTTCTCAATTAATATAAATATTTAATGTAATAAAAATATAGTCCTAAAGGTTTCTTTTTAGTTTTTGAAACTAGACAAAACCATTTTAAATTTATGAAGGAGAATAAATTGAGGATCACCAAGAAAATTTGGAAAAATAATATTTAGTATGGGGCTTGCCTGCCAGATGTGAAAACTTACTACAAAAGTAATATAATGAAAATATGGTGGTGGCGCATAAATAGACAAATCAGTGGACAAAACAGAGAGCTCAGAAGCATATGCAAATAAATATATTGATAGAAATTTAAAGTATGATAAAGATGTCAATTCAATGGCTAAAGAATGAATTTTTGATTAAATGGCATCGGGACAATGGTCTATCCATTGAGGAAAAAAAGATCTTCACTTTGCATAGATTGAAGTGCTCATTGTAAAAACAAATAATACTATCACCATTAGAGGAATTGAAAACATTAAAACATAATATGGAGAAAACATTTGTATATTTTGGGCTTGGAAAGACCTAAACAAGTTGAAATCCAGAAAGCATTAAAAAAAAAGTTACCAATGTGACTACTTAACCAGGAAAATCCCACATGACAAAAAGATGAAGAAAAGCCAAGGAAAAAATACTTGCAGCACATATAAAAAGTGATGGATAAACATCCCTAACACTCAAGAGCCTTATAACAATGAGTTCAAAAAAGACAAATAGCTATATAAAAATTAACACAGAATGTCAAGATGTATTTCACAAAAGAGGAAATGCAAATGGCCAATATATCTATGAAAATAACAAGTGAAAACTGAAGCAGCTACACATGATTCTATGAATTATCAGCAAGTGAAAAGTGCAAAGTAAAGAAGAACATGTGCAGCCTGACATTAGTAATAGGTTATATTTTAATAATATAGATGAGACAATTCACATTGGCCATATGGAGTTATCAAACATGATTTCAAAAATTGAAAATAATGCATACAAAAGTCCTAAGAGCATTTTTCTGTAGGGAGTAGCAAAAAAGGGAAGTTTCTTCTCTTACTGTGTCCTTTATTACTTTTCCAAAAACATTTACAAAATGCAGCCTGAGCTGGGCAGTGGCCCACGCCAGTAGTCCTAGCACTTTAGAGGCCAAGGCAGGAGGACGACTTGAGCCCAGGAGTTTGAGACCAGCCTGAGCCACAGAGCCAGACCTGTCTCTACAAAATATTTTTAAAAGATTAGCTGGGCTTGGTGACATGGGCCTGTAGTCCTATCGACTTGGGAAGCTCAGGCAGTAGGATTGCTTAAGCTCAGGGGTGATGTTGTAGTGACCTATGGTGATGCCACTGCACTCTAGCCTGGTAAAAAGAATGAGACCCTGTATCAAAACAAAAAAAGAAAAAAAAATTCCAACCTTCTAGTGGGCATGGTGGCATAAGATTAGCTGCCAGAAGGTTGAAGCAAGAGGATCGTTTTGTTTTGTTTTGTTTTGTTTGAGACAGAGTCTTACTCTGTTGGCTGGGCTATAGTGCCATGGCATCAGTCTAGCTCACAACAACCTCAAACTCCTGGGCTCAAGCAATCCTATTGACTCTGCCTCCCAAGTAGCTGGGACTACAGGCATGCACCACCATTCCCGGCTAATTTTTTATATATATATTTTTTAGTTGTCCAGCTAATTTCTTTCTTTTTCTTTTTTTTTTTTGGTAGAGATGGGGTCTTGCACTTGCTCAGGCTGGTCTCGAACTCCTGAGCCCAAACGATAAGCCTGCCTCGGCCTCCCACAGTGCTAGGATTACAAGTGTGAGCCACCACACCCTGCCCCTCCAGAGGATCCTTTGAGCCCAGGAATTTGAGGCCAGCCTGCGCAACACAGAAAGACTGTATTTCTATTAACAAACAATACAGCCTAAAAATTATGTACAACTATATCAATTGCAACCCATACATATCAACAGAACAGATTTATAATATTTGCTAACCCCCAATTAAGTGAACCAGCACAAAATAATTCATTAAAATAAAAACAATTCCAAATCCAAGAAGTGCAAATGAGAAATCACAGCTAAGGCAGGAATCCTTTTTTCTTTTTTTAATGTCCGAAGACAGATTATGCCTATTTTGCTAAGGAAGAGACAACTCACCTCAGACAGTGGATTTCCCTGCTTGCAGTTGATGCCACCGACAAAGATCATGTTGGGCATCACAGGCCTGGGATAGTCAAAAACAAAGTCGGTTCGCAGCAGCCAGATTGATGTGTCGCTGAAGAGGTCATACGCCGTGACAGGTGTCTGGAGGATTTCAGAGGCAACTTCTAACCCCGTTTTAAAAAAATGGGGGCAAACTAAATGTTCCTCCAAGTGGAAGATATAGTTCCGTACTCTCTCCTTGAAAGTCATGGCATCTGAGAACCCTAAGATCATTCTGGGAACATAAGAAGGAAGAGCCGGGCACTGGGCACCTTCCTCAAGAGTGCCGCAAAATACTGCCCGGCTGAAGACCACAGAGGGGAGCGAAAAGTACTTGGCAACGATTAAGCCACACAGATCAAAAGGATCTAGAAACACAGCATCAAAAGAACTCTCTTTTAAGTATTCTACCAATTTTTTGTCATTAAACAAATCCCTACAGTGTGAAAAAAGAATTTCGAAAAAACCTCTCGCTGGATTCATTAAAGAATGTAGAGTTTGTCCGCGCTTTTTCCATTGAGCGTCGGCAAAGCTCACAAACTCACGGTTCAAATCCTCCAGGGTGTGAGAAGTTTTATAAGTCTTCACTGTACAATTCAGTGATTGTCCCAGTCGCCAACTCACGTCTGGAATGACCATAACCAGCTCGTGCCCTTTGTGGATGAGATTCTCCACCACGGACCGCATGGAAAACCAGTGGCTGCCGTCCATGGGCACCACCAGCAGCTTGCCTGCCTCGGCCAGGCCGGACGTCAGCAGCAGACACACACACAGGGCCAGGGGCCCGGGCAGCGCCGCAGGAGCCATGGCAGAACCGCAGCCCGGAGCAACCCAGCCGCCTGGATCCCCAGCTCGTGTAACGCAGCGGGCAGGAGAAGTGCAGGCACAAAGCTGCACCCAACACAGGGCGTGTACTCACATGTTGATTAAAAAGCCACACACATGGCAAATCATTGACTCATAAGGACCATAATATCTGCTGAGATACACACTTGTACGTTCTCCAGATAAGACTAGCTTATTACCTTTGCCTTAGAAATAGACTGTGTCCAGTACCGCAATGTGACATTTCAAACAAAATTATTCAGCAATGCTTTGGACTTTGACAAATCAGAAAGATAAAAAGGGTAGAAAATAAATAAATAAAATAAAACAGGAGAGAAAATAAATACAAAACTAAACCTTGTGTTTAAGAAATTTGTCCCCCCCCAAAATTTGGATTTTATCCTTAGGCTACAAGAACACTCTCTGCCTAGAAAGAAATTGGCATCTCCTGCTCCAAGGACAGACAGCAAGGCCCTGAGCAGTGACTCCTAACTGGCAGGAAGCTGTTGTTCCCGAGTGTCTGTGCCATGCATGGGCATCGCTGCTTCTCTTCCTCCATTTCCAACCCCCTGAGGCCTCTGAAATGCTGAACAAGGTGCACAACCCCTCCTACCCGCCGGATCCTGGGATCTGATGGAGAGTGACTGGCTCTATTTCAACTGCTTCCCTCAGATTCGCTGCATGCAGTGGGCGGTCACCTGCCCAGTGCTGCCTGAGCACTCTGCTGGGATTCCTCTCTGTCCTCCATACGTCCCCATTCCAGCCAGAGGTGTGGACCTCTGCTGTGGGCTCACCCCATCACCTCGTGCTGCCCTCCTTCAGCACGGACTGGTCTCCCCACTCTGCTGCGCACTCCTTGAGGTCAGGGGATATGCTGTTCATGTTTCCTTCTCCCTCCACAGTACCCACGCTGTGCCTTGCACAGAGACAGGACACAGGAGTGTTTGTTGCACTGGACGAATTGCACCGTGCAGGTTTCCTGGGTACCTTCCTGGGTGCGCAAACCCGCGTGTGTCAGGTAAGAGAGGGTGGGGAACCCGTGGTCTTAGGGCCACATGTGGGCTTCTAGGTCCGTAAGTGCCACTTTTTGACTGAATCCAAATTTTACACAACAAATCCTTTTATTAAATGGGGTGCAGCAGAGAAAGATGAAGCTTTTCTTGTGTCCTTTGTTGCTAAAGAAGAGAAAGATCTCGAAATCATAAGGCCACAGTTTCCTCAGCCAGCCGGCAGCGCTGGGAGTATAATCCTTGTCAGGAACAAAAGATGGTTCCTTGCAGGACACTCTAATTGTCAGTAAACCTTTGCTTAGTCACCGTTTACCTTGTTATCTGCAGCACTTTCGCGTGAAAATGGAAGTAAGTCATCTACCTTCCATACGGGCATAAATAAGAAGAGAAATCAGAGAACTGGAAAACAGAAAGACAACAGAGAAAAGCAGTGAAATCAAAGCTGGTTCTTTGAGCTCAATTAACTTGCTAAAGCTCTAGCCAGACTGAGCAGAGAAAAAATAAACTACCAAAGAGGAGGATGAGAGAGGCGGTATCACCACAGAGTCTACAGATGTCAAAATGATAGTAAGTGAATATCATGAACATTTATGACAATAAATTCTACAAATTAAATGATATGGATAAATTCCTTTAAGATACAGAAGCTACCAGAATTTACACAAGAACAAATATTGGTAAATAACCCACAGAGAGATAACCTAAATCTTTTGCATGGAAATTGAATTTCTAATTCAAATTTTCCAATAACTTGTCCAGTCCAGATGATTTCACTGATAAATTCTACCAAACATGGAGGGAAGAAATAATCCCAGTTCCTCACTGTCTACTCCATACAACAGGAGCAGAGGAATTGCCTAATTCATTCCATGACACCAGCACTCCCACCGTTCTGAAGTCACATAAAGACATTCAAAGAAAGAAAAACTACATATCCTCATCACCATAGATTCAAAACTTCCAAACAAAATTTTAGCAAATCTAATTCTATAATATGTAAAAATATATAATATATAAAAATATAAAACACTATAATCAACTGGCATTTATCTCAAGAGTGAAAGGCGGGTTCCATGTTAAAAATCAATCAATGTTGTCAGGCCAAGTTCATAGTGGCATCATTCATAATAGCCAAGAGGTGGAAGCAACCCAGGTGTCTATGTGTTGATGAACGAATAGGCAACAGGTGGCAGATATATACAATTGAATATTATTCAGCCTTAAGAAGGAAGAAAATTCTCACACATGCAACAACAGTGATAAACCTAGAAGACATTTTGCTAAGTCAAATAAGCCAGTCACCAAAAGACAAAAACTGTGTGATTCCATTTTCATGAGGCACCTAAAATAGACAAACTCATACAATCACAAAGTTGATGCTGGTTGCCAAGTACTGGAAGAGGGGATAATGGGGAATTATTGTTTAAGACATGCAAGGTTCAGTTTGGGAAGGTAAAAGAATTTTGGTAATGAATGATATTATTTATAATGTGAATATATTCAATATCGAACTCTACACTTCTAGTGGTTGAGATGATAAATGTTATGTTATGAGTATTTTTCCAACATTCAAAATGTTGATAAATAATTAAAAACACAAAATCAGTCAAGACAACACACCACATAAATCCACTGAAAAAGTAAAATGATATAATCATCTCAATAAGCATAGAAAAAGTATTTGGCAAAATTCAAAATCCATTCCTGATAAAAAGTCTTGGCACAATCGATAAATGAGATGTTTCTCCACCTAACAAAGGGCATCTCTGAAAAACCCTCAGCTAATGTCATACTTAATACGAATGACTGAATGAATGTTCCAGAGCTCAAGTCAGACGCATGTCTAGGGTGGGAGCTTTTACTACTTCTATTGAAAATTGTTCTTGAGATTCTCTGCAGTGCAGTAAAGCAAGAAAAAGAAATAAAAAGTGTCAGTTTGGAAAGAAAAAGTAAAAGGAACTCATTGACAGACAAGATGACCATCTATTTAGAAATTCTAAGGAACTGTACAAAAATCTCCCAGAATAAACAAGTAAGTTTAGCATGGTTGCACGATACAATACATAAAAATTAATGCTATTTGTATACAACACAGGCTTGAATGGCAGGGGTCCATTTATGGGCAGATTTTTCAAAATAAATATATAAACCATTTTGTGGAGATTTGCAACAATTTGAAAAATCTTGTAGATAAACTATGTAGTCTAGAAATAGCATAACAAAATGTTTTTTAAGTCGGGTAAGTCATGAATGCATAAAATACATGTGGATACCACTCTTTTTTATCATTTACTATCCTAAAATATATACAAATCTATTATAGAAAGGTAAACATTATCAAATTTATACCCACAAACACAGACTGCCCAAGGTGCCATTCTCCGTGAACAGAAATGTAAATAAATGTGAAGATGCTGTATGAACCTTAAGACACACAATTAACGGTAGTATGCACTGTGATAATTTCACAGCCACCTCCTGTTGCCACTTCAGGAGCTAAAGTGTTGCCAGTATCTGCTTGAAATGCCCTGTGATGCTAATCTTCCCCACAGGAGCAACTTCATTTCTATAGTAAATTGCATATCACACTAAATAGTGATCTCTCATGGTTCTCTAGTATTTTTCCACTGCTTGGTGGAATATCAGGAATATTATAAACCTTGCCTAACACCATGGGACCTGAAAAGTGCCACCTCTGATGCTGGAAGTTCTTCTAGGCAGCAAAGTCATGGCATTACAAGAAAAAGTTGAATTGCTTGATGAGTACCATAAATTGAGGTCTGCAGCTGTGCTTGCCCACCATTTCCAACTAACTGATTCCAGCAAAAGGACCACTGCCAAAAACAAAAACAATATCTGAGCAGCCATCACTGCAGCTATACCAGCAAAAACCAGACCTTGCACTTGTGAAATATCTTTTTATTTTGTATGGAAAATGCAGACTTTATGTGGATGTAGGATTGCTATAAGAAAGAAATACCTATAGACTCTATATGATGCCAGAGAAAGCAAAGCCATCGCAGGACAACTCAAAGAAAAAGAAAGGTGAAGGATCTAAAGCTGGAGAATTTAATGCCAACAAAGGTGATTTCATAATTTTAGAAAGAGATTGAACTTTTAAAATGTCAAGATGACAGGAGAAGCCGCTTTTGCTGGACAAGAGGCAGCAGACCAGTTTCCCGATGCCATTAAGAAAAATCATTGAGGAGAAAATATATCTGCTGGAATAAATTTTTAATGCAGATGAAAGTGCCCTATTCTGGGGACAAGAAATCCACAAAGAACATTTACTATT